CTGGCCACTAAGCTTAACCAACTGAAGTAAAGCGGATGGACTCGGACTCAGCCTCGGCCTTGGTCCTGGACCCCTATCTCCCAGCTAGCAGCTCCCAGTTCCCGGCTTCCTGGTCCCAGCTCGATGCTCGATGCTCGAAACTCGGACGCGACACCACCACTCGACTCGCAGAAGAACAAAGACTTTGGCAGCTGCGACAATGACAGCAGCGAAAATAAAAATATATACACACACAAGCCTTCGGGTATATTCGGGGGCTGTGCTGTGCTGTGCACCACCACCCGCCATTGAGAAAATTGCATTAAAATCTATGGAGTGTGCATAGAAAGTGCAGAATGTCCTGTTCCCCCTCTTAGCTGGTTTGGGGTTCGAGGTAGTTTCAGTTTTTCGGAACTACGAAATGGCGAATTCGTGAAAAATTAAAGGAAAAAGGATATGACGCCACATTGCAACATGAACGCAAAATTGCAATTTTATTATATTTTAACAATGCACTTCGTTACGTGATTCCCACCAGGAATTGGACTCGTTCCCGCCGCACTCCAAGAGTGAAGCCAAGAGACAAACCCTTACCTTGGTCGCTTGTACACAAGCATATATATTCAAATTTTTTTTGGGTTTCCTGATGGTTTTATGCATGCAATCTGAAAGGGGAGCACATCTACCAGTTAACAGTCATATTTTATTGAGTTTTTTCTTTGAATTGAAGTCATAAATTCATTTAGATTTTGCATGATGAAAGTCATTTCGCAAGTTCTCGACTTTGAAATTATTTTGGTTACCTACACATAGCGGGGAAATATATTAAAATATTAAAATTAATGGAAACTCAGATCTAATGTACACATTAAACTGTTTCATTGCAGGACTTTTCTTCTTACTAATTGGCTTTTCAGCCTTCACTTGCACATCACTCATGGTCTCTGTCTTGGCCCGGACATGTGTTTAGACAAGTTCATGCAATTTGTTTAAAGCATTTTGTGTAACAATTAATATGCTTGGAAAAGTCTTTTCACAAAGAAAGCTGGCTGTCGGCCGAGAAGTTTCCTTCTCTCTTTAAATGCCAAAAACAATGACAGCCGTAAATAATACGTATTTCCTGCACTGGCCGTTATGGCTTCTTGTGGTTTTGGCCTGCCTTTTTATTTGCGCTGGAAAAATATTATTTACACTTTATGATTTCTTTATTTAGCACTAATTGCTGCCTTTACTCCATGCAGAAGCTGGGCCTGGCCTTTTGCTCTGGGCCAGTGGGGAGTGTCGACGATTAAACTGGAATAAGAAAATGGACAAACGAATTTGAAATGAATGTCGAAATGAATGGCAAAACAAAGAAAATACATGCCATTCCGATTCGAACTGGAACCTTGAACTTCTTGGATTCGTTTGGCTAGCAAATCTAAGAGAAAAGACAAATAGAACAGGAACGCCTCTAAAAATAAATATTATAAATATTCCAGAGGCATTTTTTGAACCACGAAAAAACAGTCTGGATTGGTCCTTTGAAAAACCAAAAAGTCAAGTGACGAATCCTCCGACAACTCGTCATTGCCGGCAGAAAGATCTGCAAGGCGCAAGGATACTCCAGAGCAAACACATCCATTCCAAGGCACACTCACACATGCTTGCCAGCGCAGTCAGATAATATGAAAAAGTTTTCCTTTCTCTGGATTTATTTTTATGCCTTTTGCCTTAGCATATGCTTGTTTATAGCCGCTGCTGCCTTTGCCACAGGACTTTGCCTCCTGCTTGCGATGCTGCTGTTCTTCTTGAGCGTGTAAAGTTTATTTTTGTTACTTATTATTATTATTATTCTGGCGCTGTTTCTTGTTGGTCTTCCTCCTTACTGTGCGTGTGTGTGTATGTACATATATGCGTACTTATTTTCCGTAATTAATTTCGTGCTTCGAAACATCTGCAGCTGGATTTTTACTGCATCCGAAATTGCGCATACGCCCCATGTAATGCAGACTTGATGGTTTGCTTTCAGTTCGCGAAAATGTTGTTCGGGCTTTAAGCTCTCCTCGGCTGCTGCCTGCTTTTTCCTCACCGTAAAAACGCCAATTTGTTAAACCAAATTTAATGCTGTAAAGAAATATTTGCCAACTAGACAGGGAGCTGCAGGGGAGGCGACGCCGTCGTGCCCACAATTGACACAACAAATTCTTGCAAATTTCATGGGCAAAATAACGTGAGCACGGAGTGGGAAAGCTGCTTGGAAAACTACCAAAGACGACGACTCCGAGGACGTTCCACATGAGCAGTTGGGTTTAGTTCGGTGTAAGCCAAAACACGGGCACTTGACTTACAGGACTAAGGAGGGCCTCGATCTTGGGATAAAGGGAAGCTTTACTTGTATGAAAAGGTGCTAAATTGGCATATTAAAACTAAGAATAATATGGGTTACTATTTGATACTTATATTAAGAAAATAGTTGAACAATTTACTAGTTTAAAATTATTAGAGTAACTCCTGTCTTTACTCTTTAATACCTAATAATATAGTTTTTAATATTTATTTTTATAAATTTAAGCCAAAGCGGAATAGACTGTCACTTTGCCTTAACCTTCCTCTTGGTAGACTTAAGTTTCATCTTCAATTGCATTTACCTATGCGCCACCACAGAGTCGCGTCGCTGCAATGTAAACAACCCACTGGGAAAAGTGAAAATGGGGGGAAAGGAAAGAAAGCTACCAAGCAGGTAGGGATAAGTTTGCAGGAAACTATCGTCTGGAAAGGGATACACCTTAGAAAAAAACTCATAAATTCGGTAAAAATCTTAGGACTATTTCTTCATTCTACCTTTCCTATACTTTCTTAACAGGAACCCCAACGAATTTTAATATCAATTATTTAGTTTCAGAGGTTTTATATACATTTTTTTTAAATATATTTCTGCATTTTCCATAGGGAAAATATCTTATTGCCTGACTTCCAAAAATGGGACATCATCAGGTGGCGGGTGAGTGCCGCAAATCAGTAGGAAATTTGCCAAGCAGTAACAACTCTCAGGATAACTAATCCACTCACACACTTCACACTTCAATTTCCGCCAGGTTTTCTTGCCTGTCTCATATCCGAGTGAAAATTCGAAGCTGTTTGTTATTGCTGCTCGTTATTGTTGCCATGTTCCATGTCGTTTTCCATTTCGATTGTGTCACTAACATGTTGCGCTCCACGAGCGGCCCTAGGGGCTAAAGGGGCTACTGGGATGCGGGGATTGCGGGGGCGGAGCGGCCAATGATTTGAGGAGCGCGCCCAGGCAATTTCACAACGGGCACGTATGCAAACAGTGGCCAAAAAGTGGGCGTTGTCATGCCAGGGTCTCGAAATGGGAATGTGCCAAACTGTCGGCTGCAATTTTGTCGGCTGCAGCTAAAAAACGCATAAACAAAAAAAAAAAAAAACTATGAAAACGCTTTTTAGTTGCTCAACATTGAGATACCCACTAGTTGTATTTAAAATGTGTAATTAATTATAATAAAAATTAAACAATAAAAGCACATTAATTACATTGAAGGAGAAATATAAGAAAGTGAACAAAAATCCAAAAATTCAAACTAATCCTCATTTGAAGGAAGCTTATTGGCTCAATAACTAACACACCCAGTTCTCAGGTGTCGAGTGCAGGGTGCAGCGTCAGACATTGGTGCCCAAACAACTAGCATATGACAAATTCAGCTCCGTATTTCGTCTCCTTGGGCTCCTGGCAGTGTACAGAGAATAATGGCGGTGCCCTCTGTACAATTTCCGTTGCATCCTCTGTGCCACAAACGAACAAAAAAAATCACTGCAGGGAGCTACGAAGGACTCCAAATCTATGCCTAACTACAAAGTAAGCAAAAATCGGAACTGCTGCAGATTGAGCTGTTGCCGAAAATTCGCTGAGCTACGACTACGTAACGCCCTCAAGTCTGAATACTGCCGAGTGGTGAATGGCATTGAAATTGCAATGTGCTGGCAGGGCAACTGGTTTGTTTTTTTTTCGAGTACTTCCTAGGCTATCGTGATTTTATTCTCATTTTCCACCGACGAATTGAAACCTCATAGAGACGGATATATCTAAAAGATTATATAAATCATGATGTTATAAATACGATATTACAAATTGGCAATATTAACAGAGATTTCTTTTGCTAGTACCATCTTAGGTAGTTAAGGTTCAGTTAGCATGCATATTTTCGATCCGAAGGACCAGCAATGAATCATTATTTCAAATCTGAGTTTATCTTTATTTTTTATTATTATTTATTTATTTAGATTTAATACGAGAACTCTTATGTGCTACATGGAATCAAAAGCGTCCTGATATGTCCTTTAAAATAGTTTAGAAGCCCCAAACAGTCCAGCCAAATGCATTTATAATACTTGTGACCAGTTACGTTATGAAACTCAGTTTCTCACCTGTCTCCACACGACAATGAGAAACGAGAACTGTAAGAGCATGGAAAAAATCCGACTTCTGGCATAAAATATAGCGCGTTGAATACGTTTTTCGCAGCCTTCGTGTGGCATTTAATTAAATGCATTTTTATTTTTTAAATTTCGCCCAGCGTCACATAAAATATGCGGAGAAAAAAAAAAAAAGAACGGGCACCACAAGAAACAGGTGTAAAGGGGAGACAGTGCAAAAAGGTGTTAATGGTGACTATGAAATTCCATTTGCATACACACTCGGGCTACAAAAAATAAAATACCATAAGCATAGTTTCTAGAAAAAAAAAAAAATGCCGGCGATAATTTTTAATGCAATTTTACCTTTTTGCGTTGTGCCTGTGTTTTTGTGGCTCTTTTGGCTAAATAATGGTAATTAGGCGTGGAAAAATCCATTAGCCCTGGCCCGGTCGGATACGCTCACCAGAAGTAACACCCAACTCTTAAAATTTCCAGTATTCAGGGGATTCACATTGTATCGCGAAATGTATTACTGCAAAAAATAAGACATTTTCCGGGTTTTGTCTTAATCAAAGTTTAATACTAAAGTGTTTATAAAATGTAAACTAATCACGCATCAAAATCAACCGCATAACGAAGAGTTCAAAGAACATATGGACCAGACAAACGCACATAAAGGAATAGAAAGATAGTCCAATGAACATATCCCAATTAAAGCGAACGCTGCCGTACTTCAGCCTTTCCTTCTCAACTGATTCACTGCTCTTTCCGTAATACAAACTGATCACAGTGGTCGTAACGGCTACTTTGCTGACCATTATGGCGGTGCGCTCGACTCGATTCATGGTCCAGCCCCCAATGCTGTTCTGCCAGGGTCCCATAACCGGATTGGCCCAGAACCAGCTGATGTACAACTGCTCAAACCTGATCCGAAATCGCTTGCACCATGTTTGCTGGAGGATGGTCTGATGGCTGTCTATGGTGAAGTACTTGGAGCGCATGAGGGGGGTGTGACCCCGTTCGATCCACCTTTCGACCACAAACAGCTGATGCCTCTTCAGCTCCAGATCGATAACGGTTACGGTGCGGCAGTACCACGAGGGATAGCGTCCATTGCGCTCGATGCCCAGGGCCAGACGGGTGGGTATATTAACAGTGCCCTTTGGCACCACCATCTTGTTGGTGGTGTTCCTTAACAGTCTCGGGTGCAGGGGATCCTGTGTTATCTGATACTTGTTCTCCGGCTGATTCGGTGACTTCAAGTAGATCTTGATGTTCGAAGTGGTTCCCGCAAACTCCTGGCCCCCGGTCTCAATCACTAGAAGTAATTCCTCCGTAACTGGACGATTTGGGTCATATTTAATTGTTCTCCTATCGCACTCAACGTCTTTTACAAGGTGCTGATTCGCGGCGATTTTTCCGAAGCTGCTGACCAAAATAACGCCAAGCACGAAGAGTAGTAACAAAAATAGAAGAATAATGACCCATTGAATGGCTAGTACGATCCGAGCTGTCAACATCATCTGATCTTGCGCCAAGATGGGAAAAATACGGGTGGCCAGGATGCCCAGAGTGTGGCAGGTGCAGTGTACAGAGGTCCCGTAGCTGTGCTCGAAAGAGAAGTTGCAGTGGTCGCCGGACCAACCGGGATTAAGGCTGCGGTTCTTAAAATGATTGCATTGGTGAATTTCCAGCAGTATCGAGTAGTTCACAGTTGAAACTGCTTTCCCTTCTGTAAACAATGCTTGATAAACGCCTGGCCTGTGAATGGATACAAATGCCACGCTACGCTCACAGCCGTTGGCCATCCAGACACGTTTACCTCCCATCGCGGGTGTTACAAGACAACGGTTATGAATAAGTTCCTTGGACGTTGGCCTCCTGTGCAATCGCATATTGACATAAATCGGCTCAGAACAGTTAACAACCCGCACCGCCAACATTGCCTTAAAATTGAGCATCACTCTGTAGTGATGAATCTCCAAGATGTCGACTATGCTGCCACTCGAAATCAACTTGATAAAGTTCTTGTTCTCGCTGAATTTGGAAATGTCCGTCTTGTACACCACAGGGCTCTCCAAACGGGACTTATCCCCGACCCAAGTGAATCCACTGCGATTGTAGGCGTGGATTATAAGTACGCTGGTTGCCGCGGGCATGGGCTGCGGGTGCCACCAGAAGAAATTTTTGTGGTTCTGCTGAGAGATGATTTGCCACAGAATGTCTTTATGGTCCAGTTTCGAACTGAGCTCATCTAGAAGCTTAGCCGACATCTGTAGTTCGTGAATGTTGTCTATGGTTTTCAGGGAGAGGGGCTTGATAGGGTTTTTCACATGTGTAGCGTTTATCTGGTACGCAATGCCACCCTTTAGCACAGACAAGGGCTTATCGTATGTGTTTGCCTGCTGGCTAGCCATCAAGCCTAGGAAGTAGACACACTTGTAGAGGTGCCAGGAGGCCAGCATCCAATGGTTAATCCGCACCAGGATCTGGGGATCAAATCCGATCCTGAAACGCTTCGCTAGGTGAATCTTCTCTATGTTGAGGCACTCTGGATCGTTGGGCGTGCACATGGCCTTCGAATGCGTTTCAGAGGGGACCCCCAGCGAGGACATGTAGAACATGTGCATGGCCGTGAGCGAGTCATAGGCTTGTGGCTGCAGCCGGTCGCCTTGACGCACAACAACCTGGAAGATGCGGCACATTTGCTTCAAAACTTTCGCCAGAAGCAGTGCTTCTTTGTGGCCGATTGGAATCAAGTGGTTCAGCAATTGGGTAGCCAGAACTGCAACCCTTTCAAGCTGGGCAGTCGAGAAGGGCTCCTGCTGCATCAAGCTAGCATATATCAGGTTAGCTTGGTCTGCATTCTTGACATGCGTGGTGGCCGCTATTGATCGACTGACTGCTGAGTTCCAAAAGCCACGCCTTATCAAATCCGGGACATTGCGAAGAACCTGCTTGATGCGCTGTTCGGGCTTCGCCCTGGGGTCCTTGAACTTGAACGGCTGTACGTCTACATTGAGGTCCTGGCGAACGCACATATCTATGGCGTCGCAAATATATACTGCAACCTCTTCGGTTGCCGTCAGACATGCAACATACCTTGCGAACTGCGATTGCCCAATGATTCCCATTGCAGGGTTCACGTAGCGATAATAGATGGGTCCAAATTGCGCCTGGAAGCCCCTACAATTGATCTCAAACATAGTAACAGCCTCGATGCCGGAGGTCGGAGAGATAGTACAGCTTCCGTTCTTGGGGCCATCGTTCCTGTGCAATGTGTAGAAGGCTTGCGCCGTAATCTTGCTCGCCAACTTGACCCTCAGTCGAACGGAAAAAGAGCGGTAGCGGTAGTGCATGATGGCAAAATTCGTCTGCGAGACCAGCGTTTCTTCGGTTGCCTCACTCGACGTTGTCACCCACCACTCATACCTAACTATAGGCTCGTTGCAGTCCTTGCATTTGGCCTTCAGGTGGACGCTATCGGTGGGGGCGTACACGCCGTAGGCGCAGTTGCGCACGCACTGGATGTCAGGCGTGAAGGTGTCGGTTGAGACGCCCAGTAGGAGTTGTCTGGCAGTATTAGTGTGGCCTGGGTTTTCTCGAGGGGACACCGTTAGTGTGAATAAGTACTGGAACCCTCTTCTGAGGGCATTTTCCGGTAGTCGCAAAACGGGACCTATAGTAAAAAATAGCAAAAAATCAAATTTAAGTAGTCAAATCTTAAGCTTCGAACTATCCCCGTCTTTCCAGTTTCCGTCTTTATTATAATCAATAACATATAAATGATGTAATATATAAAGGAAAATATGATCCATAAATAAGTGAAAGGCAAAAGATCGGGGAAGTTTGAAAATAATACCCATAAACCTACCACTATAAAAACTTACTTACTGTCTGACATATGTGAACGGCAATATCTGTTTCTCGGATCGTTTTTGCTCCTGCAACTCCATACCAATTTCTTGGTGTTTAAATTTTCGATTGGCCCAGCTAGGTCTCTCGTCTGGCTGCCGTCGAGTATAATTTTATTGCGAACGTCCACTTTTCGCCGCTCATTGCCCACAATTCTAACATCCACCTTAGGGGGCATGTACCTCAAATAGCACTGGAATGGAATTGATCGACTGTTGGGTAACACATTTGGCCTGACTTGGTCTACTCACACGAGCTACAGTCGAAACATCATTTATTTTAGCTTCGGCCCGCAATACTAATAAGACTCCCATTTTATATGTACCATATGGAGGCAGGCTAAGCACGAAGTGTTCAGTTACGGCAACATGTTTCAGAAGATCTGTGGAAAGTATCTTAATTTACTTACAAAAGTCGATTGGTAAATGAACAGGCAGGGTCCTAACTTAGTGATCTAGAGCAAAAGATATTATTTACAGAAATAATCTTAATTATGAGCTTAAAAACTTTTAAAAGTATAAACAATTTGTAATGTAAGATATGATCTAGCTATATTGTTATACAATTTACCCTTCCGAAAAATAGTTACCGTAATGTGGCTGCCCTTACTTTTCTCCCGCAGGTCATAAAAGTCCCATCGGGTATGCCCATACCGGATATGACCACAGTCGCCGGTTACCACTGCCATAAAAAGTTGGTGACTCTTGCTCCAATACTCCAACGGATAATCGGGATCCTCGCAGAAGCGCAAAGAGAATATAGGCATGCAGGACGCTTCTGGTGGCTTATGCACTGTGATTCTGCTCTGCACCTCGGCTGCCAATAGTTTGCTCCTGTCCGAGTACGAACTGACTCTGGCTATGACGAACTTGTGATCCGTTTTATAAAAAGAGGCTCTGGTGCGGTAGAAATAGCAACTCGTATAGGGCAATCGGTGATGTATAAGTAACCTTTTCCGCAATACTCTTTCAAAATGTTTAGTATACCGCCACTCGTTTTGTTTGGTACCAGGATCGGTCACTACCTCGTCGATGAAATAGTCTTTAGTGTCCACAGTGAGGTTCAGTACGAACTTCTCGTTTCCCAGGTTAGGCATAGTCACGAAAACTAAGTACGCCCTGCCGAATAGTGGTCGCCGAGTTAGATAAATGTCTACTTTTAGTGGATAACTTGCGCTACGCCTTTGGTATTTACGAGGTCTTGATTGTGGGAAATCCGATTCATAGCAGCTTATATCTACATTCGGCAAAGTGCAGTTGAAGTTTTCAATAGCTTTTATGCTTTTCTCACAAGTCAGGCTTGAATCCTGGCAGGCCGAGCTTTTCGTAATCCGTGGTTCTTTTTCGAAATTCAAATTTGTGGAGAGGTGGTTGACATTATTTCTATTAATTAAAGGATTTTCGGATCTAGTTTGCTTAATGACCTTCTGCTTGTCATTGCCTGAAGATTCAAAATTTTGATTGAGAACAGGATCCCACAGTACCGGGACTCTTCTATTCTCTTGCTCGTCACCTCTTGTCTTGTGGGGGATACTCAAATCTGAATATTCGGGCACTATCGGTGAGGTATTCGAACCTTCCTTCAGTTTACTTCCAGGGCTTCTTGCAGTCCATTTGCCATTTTCCCAGAAGCTACCATCCAATAACGACAACAATTGCGTTCCATCGTTGGCCATGATCACGATTAGCGAGGTAGTCATGAGGTATAGGAACAATGGCATAATTTGAACAGACAGCTTGACAAAATATTTACTATTTCCGTAATTATCTCCATTTTGGATTAAAGTTTGACTCAATGAGCATGGATTGCCTTATATGGCAGATACTTTGGCCAGTCACTGTGGGAATCCTCTTATTCCATTCGCATAATTGCATAATACTTGAACTGTGCTTGTCAGCCAACATGACATTTCACCGCAGAAAATGTTCGTGTTTCTTGTGGCAGATTTTTTCAGCAATGTCCTCCCGTTGTCGTTTTATTATATATATATATTTTTTTGTTCCTGTTGTTGTTGTGCTGTTGCCTACATAATTGTTTTAATTAATTGGGAATTGTGTATGCAACGAGCATAAAGTGCACTTCAAATGTGTGAAAGGGAACAAAAGCGCGAATCGCTTTTCTGCACAGCTGGTAATTTATTGACCACAACAGCATCCCAGCTTTCCAGCATCAACATCATCAACAAGAGCGATTACAGAACACGGCTTAAAACCAACTTCAAGCCCATTTCCATTTCCAATCCCATATAAATCAAATGAAATTAACCCAAAGAGGGAGCGTGCTGCCAATAGAGTGTTGAATTTTTATAAACCACAAAAACAACGAGCATTGACAATAGACAATCATACTTTATTTACTATAAACTTCACACAGTCATAGCTTTTCTATCTGGTCCAGGGTGTCGAGGCGAGACAGGGCGACAATTTCTTAAATTGTTCGAGCAAATGAGAATGGAATTGAAGTGGGGGAAGCCAAGGGGAAACCCATCTACAGGAGAAGCGCACGTCGCATAAAAAATAAGGCATTGGGGAAAAAAAAGGGAATCAGAATTTTGTCTTTTTCTATGGTGAAAATATACTATTCTCTCATTTTGTTTAAATCAGAGGATACTCTAATATGAAGTTGAGTTAGTTTTATTTTTTAATAATTTATTCTGTTGGCTAAGATTTCTTGAATTTTTAAATAGTTTCCAAAGTATGGAATTGTGCTTAAGTAAGTTAGTTTTATGTTTTTAGAATTTTAAAACGATTTTTATTTATTCATTTAAAAATTAAAGCAATAATAAATTATATAAATACTGTTATATATGTTTTTAACAATTTTATTTTTTCATTTTTCATGCATACCCTCTCGACAGGGTATCAAAACTTTAACAATAACGAAAGACTCGACAAAAGAAAAAAAAACAAAGAATGGAGCATTTTACGATTTAGCATGTGTGTACCCACTACGAGGTGGGAGGGAGGCTTGGGGTCTGATGAACCGGCGGACGGACTCACATACGGACGGAGGAGCAGCAGTGGAGGACCGCCAAGTTCAGCACTTTGGCGCGTCAAGTGCTTTTCATTTTCCGAGCACGTCGTCGCGTCATAAAACAAAAACGCATGAAGCACAACGGCCAGGGGGAGGCGGTGGCACGTTTAGCATATATATTTTCACACTTGCAATCATACTTTAAGCAGGGCAGCACGCACACACTCACCACCGTATCTGGGCTAGGGATGGCAGCCCGACGGAAGTTTAAAAAAAAATCACAGTTTTGAAGACACATGTGCCTTAAGGTCCTTACAAGTCTAAAAGGTAATCTTACCAGAATTTTTCTTTCCCTAAGTCGAAATCGAAAAGAACGTAAACCAAAGAGTTGATTCTAAATAAGTTAAGTAAGCTTCAGCTTCTTGATTTATTTAAGAATAAGATGTACTGTATTTTTGTCCATATTTGATAATATTTAGATTTATACACTGGTAACGCTATAGGGTTTCCATGGCTGTAGTTTGAAAATTACCCAAAAAATTAATATAACATATAAAATAAAGACTACAACAAAACTAAAAAAATTAAAATCTAAAATGAAAGCTTGGTATTCGTTAATAAATCTGAAATGCTATTTTTGAATAGTTTTCTGTTTTTTGTCACCCCTAAGTCGCTTCCACTGTTCACCATGGCGGTATCTTGGAGGGAGAACTTTCTCGTATCTTCATTTTCACTCGCAGGCAAAAGCCGTGCCATAAAAGTGCGTCGGGATTGTCGCCAAACTTTTGCTTTCTTTAGTCGCTCTTTTTAGTCCTGTTTGCTTTCGTGGGTGTGATGATAATAATTTCAAGAGGTATTCGACCGGAGCGTTTATCTTTTTTGTTTTGTGTTTTTTTGTGACTTACTTTGTCCTTGGGCTTTGGTTTGGCTTAATTAAAATGTCATAGACCCCGTTAGGGGTATATAATTACCGAAAATAATCAACACTAGCCGACGAGGTACTAGTTTGCTTCAAAAGTATATTTCAAATATATTTAAAATGTGTTATTTTTAATTATTCAAACTACTTTTGGGTTGACAAACTCTTGCCTTTCATTATATTGTGAATGTTGGCCAGTGTAATGTACCATAGAAAGGGATAAATTAATATTAATGTGAAGCGGCTTGTCGGATAGGCTGAAAAGTGTCTCGCAGTCGTCTAATAGATGTCAACTCTGCTTTCTGCTCGTTGGCCGGGCTGACATTATTAACTGAATCGACTTATGAGGGGCTGGCAAGGTGCGGAGGGTTGGCATTAAAAGGATTTCGCTGGATGTGCCATAATTTCTGACACTAATGACAGATAATGGTCTCCGAATTTTGTACATTAAATATTCCAAATGCGAAATAGTTTCGTCGCTCGTCATTATACTCTCTGCAGCCGAAAGTTCACAAGTTCAAAGCGCTCTGTCTCAACATCATCGTCATCATCATCAGCCTGTCGTTATAATCATCTCCGGATTGGATCGAATGCTTAATGGAACTGAAAGCAGCGTGAAACCATTCTGCAGCCCATTACCATTTTGGCTCATCCACTCCATCCATCCATCACTCCCCTTAAAATTCTTTATACTCCCAAAACTTTCAGCTGACGCTTTTTCAGTGGCTACAGAAAGAGTTAAGGGTGTTGCTGTGGGTGGTGGAGGGCGGAGAGTGAGGTGTGTCGGGCGTTTGTTTTGGACTGGTTTGGTTCCGGCGGTGACATCTGTTTCGGCCACGTTGGCAACTTTGCGTGCGGTTTGTCTCTGGTCCAAAGTTCTCGGCCCCAACGCCCTTTAATGATCCATGCCGCAAATGAATTGCAGTCCATTTGTAATTGCTGCACTTGATTTGCGGTGCGACTTGAGGGTTAACAATTATCTGCTGACGTCCGTGGAGACGTGGCTAACGGAGTTCCTGAAGTTGGCACTAAGTAGACGACAGTTGACACACTGACCAGACTTCAGGGACAAGCTTCCGGGAGGCTGCTAATTTGATAAATGGATTAACTTTTTAAAGGCTAACATTTTGCTATTTAACTAGAACTTCAAGTTTAGATTTTGAATACCTTCTATTTCATTTATGCCTTAAGATAATGTTTAACCATTTGAACCATGATTGATATTCCTGTAGATTTATCAACCCGTTCTAAGCCGCAAACTAAACCACGAAAATGTGTCAGCGGCAATTACAAGAATCCGTGGCTGCCACACACCGGCACTTGGCCGCGCCCACGCCATCTATATGCGCATCCGCAGGTCACGACAACGACCACCCTCATCCTGCACAATATCAATTATCGGGCTTCAAGTGTCGCTCAAGTGTCACGTCAAACACCAACACAAACTACGAGCAAAGAGCATAGAGCATAGAGCCAAGAGCGAAAGCCCAGGAGCAGAGCCCCGCGAACACATATGACAATCCAGTTTCCGCCCAGAGGTTGGCTGCACTTTCCGCTGCCGCCATCCGAGCATCCGGACCTGGTTTCTCATCGCCTCCCTCCAATACGGATATGTAAGCAACATTTTGCGCTTTGACTTTGATTGATTACAAAAGCAATTGAGCATATCGACGCAAAAAAAAAGAGAATTGAGCAAGGCACCGCCAAAGAATTAACATAAATAAAAGGCGCCTGAGACCGACACTTCCATTGACAGCTTCCGAAAGGCAAGGGCTGCGCAATTAAAGGAATTCAGCCCTCGCTTTTCCCCACCAACTTACTTAATGGAGGCCATGCCTGTAATTTTCATCACGGCTTGATTTACCCAATCGTTTGCGGCTGTGAGATTTTTAAAGGAGTCCTGAGACACGCCTGCCATTAATTAGCACAATTGAAATGGGTCGGCTAGCGCGCTTTGAAAGCCTAATGAAAATAAAATTGCAATTAAATTTAATTGATAAACTAATCAAGAAAGGTCGACAGGCGCTGATTGATGACTGGAAATATATATTTTTTTTAGAATTTTGGGTCTCAAAACGAGTTTGAAAGACAATTGACATAGAGTTTAAAAGGGATATTATGGTTCCACTAGGATTTTATTTATAAAACACAATTTTTTAGTTATTGGAAAATTTATTTCAAAATCAAAATACATCGCAAGCAACTTTGAAACTAATGTCATTTTCTAAAAATTTCAAATCAATTTCAATTAACTCTTCGCACTTTTTATTTTATTTTATTTTATTTTATTTTATTTTATTTTATTTTAATTTATTTTATTTATTTTTGTTAGTTTCTGTTTTTGGATCTTCTTGCGGAAATAGTCCATGTGATCCTGGCTGAATGCGATCGGTGTGTCGCGCTATATATACTCGGCAAAAATGCAACTGAAGACGCCGAAGTTGCTGCCGTTACTCTGCTGCGGGACATTTGCAAGGCTCTCGATCTTAAAGTCGCTAGTATCGAAGGGCTGTTTGCATTTGTCGAGCGACTCCTGGCGCAGGTACATCTCCAATGCGTCCAGCACATCCTGGTTCGAGTCGTATGGGTTCACTTAATCAACTTTGAAGATAAGCTGTGGTAGAAACCAAACCCTTGCCTTAAAGGGGATACCTTCTTTCCGAATAAAAACCAATGTGGAGTAGTAGCACGGACATACGTGTAAAATGGTAACTTAATGGGCGGCCATTGCCACAGTTTGCCTTTTGCTTTACTTTTAATTACCAACTCAAATTACACGCGCAGACTGGCAAAGCGGAACAGCTGCTCGACTTGTACTTGGCAGCGGAAGGCGGGAAGCGGAAAGCGGACAGTGCCGTGGAATCGGGATAGCAATTGCAATCGCAAACCTTCTAGGAGTCCGAAGGCAACCGCAGGACTCCACTGGCAACCCACACACACACATACACCGTCTCCAGACCATCGTTTTCTGCACATTTCATTACAATGCCATTGTATTCAAATCCTATTATAAAGCGTAAAACATGCCAAGGGGAATGAGAGTGAAGTGGTAACGGTACACTGAGAACAAATACGAGTAGTAATAAAAGTCAAAAAAATGACATTTTCTGAGATATACCATCTTCTTATTTTCTTTTTATAAATAATGACCACTGACGAAACAGATTTTTCGATTGAATTTATCTCAATTTGTTTTTTTCTCTGTGTGGCAAACCAACACAAGGTCCTGGTTGCATAGTGCTGCGCCCAGGACTCCATGTTTGCAGCACGTTTCCACTTTCGCACTTGGTAAACATAAGTTGCCCACGCACACACCCAGGCGAAGAGATTGCGTCCCGTCCGCCACACTCCATAAAATAATTACCAACACCAGGCCAGAAGCAGGAGCTCTCGTCTAACGGTATCTGCGGAATGGGTCCGAGAAAAGAGGACGAGGTGGTGGGTGAGGCTCGTCGGGAAGGATGGAGGTGCATGAAGCCGGAAGACTTCTATTACAATTGCCGCCTAGCGAGAGCTGTGGAACTGGGCGTCACAAAGGTAAGAACAGTCTGGCTGGATCCAGAGTAAAAAGGTTCGGACGTTAACCCAAGGCTAAAGCCAGTAGCGGTATCTTATTATAAAATATAAAATATATGTAAATATATATAGGATGTATGTATGTATAAATATACAAACATGTGGAATTCAAAATCATATAAACTTCTGTCATTTGTTTTCTATTCGATGTTGTAGAAATTCCAAACTTTTTTGCCTCCACTTTTGACCAGTATTTAAGCGCATGCGGAGTTGGCGAATTTAACGGAGGATCAGCGAGAGGAACCGTAATGGAAGTCTCCATGGGGCACCAGAACATCTGCTGCGACGGCTGCCAGAGGGTGGAGTTCCGAGGACGGCGCTTCCGCTGCATGCGCTGCACGAACTATGACCTGTGCGGCGATTGCTACGACCAGCAGATCGAGACGCAGGCGCACAGCATCGACCATCCCATGCAGCTAATCCCGGAGCCCGGCCAGGAGCCTGGCCTGCAACTCGGCAACGAAATGCTCGAGCTGGTGCACCTGTCCAACTGCTACACCTGCCCCTACTGCGGCCTCTTTGGGTGCTCGGCCAAGCAGCTGATCAAGCACGTGTACGACCAGCACCGCCTCTCCGAGGGCTACGTGGCCTGTCCGATGTGCGCCAGCCTGCCGTCCGTCGAACTGCTGGCGATCCGCAACCTGTCGCGTCACCTGCTGCTCAACCACATCGACCAGGCCAATCAGCTGGAGCCGGACACGCCGCCACTGCGCCGGATAATGACCAGGAGCTTGCAGCGCATCCGCCGACGCCGCCAGCAGCCACAGCAGCAATCATCAAGGGAGATTCCTGCCATTCTGGCCATCGATGACGTGGCCATGCCCCCGGAGCACCAAGATCGCACGGAGAACGAAGAGAGCTTAAACTCCAGCGTGGACCCATCAGCCAAACAGCCTCGGGAGGGCTATCTCCTGGGGCAATGGGTTGCGGAGCAGGAACGCATCTACCGGAATGCAGAGAGCTCAGTCATTCAGAGGCGCCAGCATGCACTCTTCACAGAGCACCTCCTGCTATCCATGCTCAGTGCCGAGGAGCTGCAGCTGCCGGAGAAAAAGCAGTCAGAGATGGAACGGAGCCTGAAACACCAAAAGGAGCTGACCTCAGTCATGTCACTGATGTCCTTACCATGGACCAGGCTGCGGCAGGTCACCCAATGGGAGGGCAAGAGGCTACTGAGCTCCACCGTGGGTGAACTCGATGTGGATTTAATACGGGATCAGATAGCCTGGTTGGAAAGGGCTGAGGCGGGGTCGGAGGAGGAGGAGGCCATAGACTAGAGGCAATTAACGGTGCTGCCAAAAAAGTGTCATTAATATTTTTGTTTTTCTATTTTCAAGGACCTGATATATATTGTTGAGGTTTGGTTAATTTTAAATGCAAAATCGGCTAAATTTTTGTGAAAATTATCTTTTTAATCAGTTTAATATATATATCTATGATATATTTATCTATACAAGTGGTCTAAAATTCGTGTGGTGAAATTTCGTTTATCGTATTTTCTGAAATTATCGCAGAAATCCTTTACCATCCTCCTTGCTGTTGCTGTTGCTGATCTCCGAAGCCACCGAATCCTTCTTGCTGCTGCTGTTGCTGTTCTCCGAAGCCACCGAATCCATTTTGCTGCTGCTGTTGCTGTTCTCCGAAGCCACCTCCGAATCCACCAAAACCTCCTTCCTGCTGCTGCTGTTGCTGTTCACCACCGAATCCACCTCCAAATCCACCACCAAAACCTCTTTCCTGCTGCTGCTGCTGCTGTCCTTGATCGAATCCCCATTGAGGAGACGCCGCAACCAGGGCAAAGAGCGCAATGAATACAACCTTTGGGAAAAATTAAGAAACAACACATTAGTCCTGTGATCCTCCAATGAATGCTATTATTGAATACTTACGAAAAATTTCATGGTGCTTATGTTTAGGCTGATGTCTGCAGTACTAATGTCACCTTTTGGAAGCTGGGCTCTTTTATACCGTCCAGCAATCGCATTGTGTCGTCGATAGCTCAAAGGTAATTAAAGGTCAGCCACAAGTATAGACGGAAAAAAAAAACTTAATAATCTATAAAAATTTCCACAAGTCTGTCTGGCTGTCTGCCACTGATTAGACGACCTCTTCCAAGTTGGACAACCCTTCAATCTGACTCATTGCCGAATAAATTAGGTTCGCTTTAATCGGAATCCAAAAAAAATGTGTTTTACTTGCATGCATGAAAAACGTGATTTATTAAATTTAAAAATATAAATTTGTGCTAATTCTGCAAAGTTATTAATTCAATTTATAGTCCGAATTCTTCTTAATACTCTCCATTTAATTAGTTTCTTTGCAGTAGATTTCCTCCTTACATTTAAAGTTCAGCTAAGACTTATTAGGGACACTGTACCAGAAAAGCTAAAAAGTCGACTGCAATATTAGTATCAGCCAACGAAAAATTCTAAAAAATGCCTAACATTATGCCACAGAAGTAGAAAAAGCCCAGCTTTAGCTTTAGCTTCGAGTTAAACAAAATGTATTTATAATAGGAAAGATTTGATATCAGGCCGTGATCTTAATTTTAGATTGATTGTCAATTACCATGAATTAATAAATCAGTCGTAGAAAATTTTGAAATTTATTGAATAAATAATTACAAATTTCTTTAATAGGCAAAAATTTAAGTTTGTTCTCATTAAATTTAAATAGTAGATGAATTCTTAAATTTTACAATCAAATAATATGTAGCTTTCTAAATTAACCTTAAGAGTGTACCGATGCCTTGACTACGTTATTTTTGTCAGATAAAATTAATAATGTCTTAAAATGTATGTCAAGTTTTTATTTAATGCTCTAAGCTTAATATATACCTACTTTTTAATAAAGTATTACAATAATATTCACTTTTAAAGTAAGCCAAAAAGAAGACTTTTAAATTAGCTAAGTAAAATCGTTCCAAGATTTCAACTTTCCCTAATATTATACTATTCAAATAATTTAAAGAACAAGTGGGGTGCTAGGCTCTAATCAGTTCCGATTTGAACAAAACAAATTAATAAAAAATAAAGTTCAAGTTTATAGGTCTTAGCCCCCTGAAAACTTTTCATTCCCGTCGGCGTTGTGCAGTCTCATCACAGAATATTAATCTACGTTTGGCAAGTAAGTACTCGGGGGGGGGGAATAATAATCATTAAAAAACATATTATGAAATACGGATTTGATTGCTTTGTTTTGCTTTTCAGAGCAAACAGTTGATTGATCACTGGCTATATAATGGCTTTGCCGCCGTACCTAAATCAGTTAGTACTTTTCTGAAGCGCAAACAATCAATTAACCAAGCAAAATGAAATTCTTCGTAAGTATTCTGAGGTCTTCTGATTTGATTTTCGAAGGATATAGCTAACCCATCCTTATTTAATCTGTTTTTAGATTGTCTTCTTTGCCCTGATCGCTGTTGTGTTGGCAGGTGGATACGGTGGTAATCAAGGACGTGGCCAGGGTGGACATGGCCAGCAAGGATTCGGCCAGGGCGGACATGGCCAGCAAGGATTCGGTCAGGGCGGACATGGCCAACAAGGATTCGGCCAGGGCGGACATGGCCAGCAAGGATTCGGCCAGCAGGGACATGGCCAGCAAGGATTCGGTGGACATGGCCAGGGTGGTCACGGCCAGCAAGGACACGGACATGGCGGACGCTACTAAGAAGGATAACCTGATAAATGATATTGGAAAATAAAATACTTAAATTGAAATCACTTTGAACGTTTTCTGTATTTATTTATATATTTCTGAAATTGATAATAGCAATTTGATTTAGTACTTCAAATTTATTATCAGGCGCTACAGGCAAGATCTTTGACGATTACATTTTGTTTAGTTCTACCAGGGAATCTTATTTGTATGTGGTTTTTATTTTTTAAGGTAACTTCTTTAAAATTTCATGAACAAAACCTTCAGTCTGGAGTTTATATCGTTCTCGATATACATTTCTGATCTTTATTTTAATAATTAAAAGAATTGTGATACCTAAACTAAAACAATTTTTTTTAAAACGTAAATTGTATAATATTTATTGTTTTCAAGTGTATTTTACTCCCCGAGTTCAATTAAGTTTAATCTGCATGCTAATCGTAGCGGATGTGTGCAATTTAATTCTTTCCAAGAATTTTGTTATCTCAGTCTTATATATTTTTTTTCTATATGACTCTTGTATAAATACCGCGACTTTATTGAATAATATTTGCAGTTTTAAAATGAATATACACGTAAGTAAAGCCTTAAAGAACAAAACTCCTTTGCTTAAATTAAGCATTAACATTTTTTTTTCAACAGGAAATTTGTATTACTGTTTTGGTTGTTGTGTCAATTTTTGGCCAGAGCCTCCAAAGTGAAATATACGAAGGAAGTGGTGGGGGATCGTACGAAGAAGGACTATTCGGTGGACAGGGATATCCAGGAAGCTGGAACAATCATAGACCTGGGCAATATCCTGGAAGCTGGAACAATCATAGACCTGGGCAATATCCGGGAAACTGGAACAATCATAGACCTGGGCAATATCCCGGAAACTGGAACAATCAAAGACCTGGGCAATATCCTGGAAACTGGAACAATCAAAGACCTGGGCAATATCCTGGAAGCTGGCATAATCCCGGAATTGGGCAATATCCTGGAAGCTGGCATAATCCCGGAACTGGCCAAAATCCTGGAAGCTGGAACAATCCTAGACCATGGCAAAATCCTGGAAACTGGAACAATCCCGGACTTGGGCAAAATCCTGGAAACTGGAACAATCACAGACCTGGGCAATATCCAGGCGGAAATCCAGGAGGAGCGGAATCGACACACAATTCTGATGGCACATATGAAATCATTGATCTCAGGGCTCGTTCGCATCCGCAGAGATATTCGTTTGGACGAAAATAATGCTGGATTTTAAATTGTTTTTAATATGTCAACCCTAATAAAATCAAGAATCAATACATTTTAAACTTTTTATACCCTTGCAGCCTTCAGTCAGAAGTTTGCAACGCAGTGAAGGAGACGTTTCCGACCCTATAAAGTATATATATTCTTGATCAGCATCAACAGGGGAATCTTTCTAGATGTGTCCGGAAGAAATTGATTTTTTGGCCATTTTTGCGAAATTTGATAAGGGGTTACATCATTAAAATTAGCAAAAATGGCCAAAAATGTTGATTTCTTAAAATTTTAAGTTTGGTATGCAGTTTTTTTAAATTAATAAAAGCTAACACAAAACTGCTTTCCGAATCGAAATTAATGCATTTTTGGCTTAGTTATGATATATTTGAATTGTTACCTGCAAGGGTATACAAACTTTGGCTGGCCAAAGTTAGCTTTCTTTCTTGTTTCAAATAGTATATTATGAAACTGAAAATAGTTAAATTCAGAGAAATTATTTTTACTGATCATTTTAAATTGCTGTTTTTGTATGTTTATTTTTATAAAAATGAGGCCGTGGCTACAGCTCTGGCAAAGATAAGAAATTGAAGGCGCAGCTGGAAAGGGTAATGAAAATCGTTATCATGGAAAGTCATATCTATCAATCTAACCTAATTCGGTTTTGAGAAATAATACTTTGAATTCACCTAAAAATATATATTTACTGAATCTGTTTGTCAAAAATGTTGGTTAATTTAGAATATAAATTCAGATAACAAAAAAAATTTTGAATTTCAAATTTGTTTTAATGTTTTATTTTTGTTTTAGTTTATAATAATTTGCGAAACGTCTTGACGGAACATTAGTTTACTGCTCCTGGTGGCGGTGGGGGCTGTCCGGCGCACCAAGGGGTGCAGGGCGGCAAAGTAGTGGGCGTGGCTGGGGCCGGACGTGCCGCAGCGCCAGCGAACAGAAGCGAAAGGAACAGCAGCTGCAAAACGTTATCACAAAGAGGTCAATAGATCAGAGCAACAAAATGTTTATTAATTCTTAGAAAACTTACACAGCTCTTGATGTCCATTGTCGAATGTGGATTTGTTTTGAATCTCGTTGAAGCGTCTGCTTGTTTATATAGCAACTGTTTGGGCGACAGAACGTGTGTTTCGACATTTGATTACTTTTTAAGAAATATAAATGTACTGACAAAAATATTATTCCCTAGAGTTTTATTGTATACATTGCTAGAAATCAAATAAAAACAGAGTAAATATTTATTTATTTTATAAGACATTTATGTTAAGTTATTATTTAATACGTGGAACCTTTTTAAATACTTTACATTATATATGTTTTTTTTTTGTATTTTTGGATAGAGTACATATTATTATTAATTACATATTAATATTAAATATAAATTAATACAAAAATAACCATTTTAAAAATCATAATTATGTTATATTTCTTAATCTATATTTTTTTATTAATATTACACATTTTGTTTGAGTGAGTTTCCTAGTCTTGCTCAATATTTTTAATAATGCATTCATGCTGATACCATGTATGGCATAGAGTTGTTTTCAATTAAAAAGTCCAAATTTAATTCTTATCACCTTAAGCTACTTTGCCTTTGACATTTGGTCTTATGCTTACAAAACTTTAGTTGAATGTTGATAAGGTTAAAGCTTCTACTCGTTCTGGATTACTTTAAAGTATTTTTATATTTTTAGGCAATAAGTAAAAGTATATACGGTAGTTTTAGTTATAATTATTAAATGTGTGTAAAGCAAATCCAAAATGCAGACTGGTGCTTCCGAAAACGACAGTTCCTCTTAGCTTCATTAAACAGAAAAATTTCTTAAAATTTATTTGAGTAGGCGGTGGATGCAGTGTGCAATTGCAGGTTTCCTACAGATAACACGGCTGCCAGGTTCAAGAGGCACCTTCTGGTTATATGCTCGAACCTTGGCTGAGATGCCAGTGCTCCGTAAGGAGGTCGAAGATGAAGTCAAGTGCATAAGACCAGCCGGCCAGAGACCCAGACTGCACTGGGTCAGCAGTTGTTGTATCTGGAAGCTTCCGGTTCGTCACTCCTATTTAACGCTGTGCTGGCTGGGGGAAAATGCGGAGGACTACAAACAATGTGCAGTCATTGAGCGCAAATGTGCCAAATAATGACTTGCAAGCAAGCGAGTGCAATTTATATGATAAGCAACCAAAATAAATGGCAAGCAATTCATTTTACTTAAATGCAGTGCAGTGCAACAATAATTTCTGACTTTGCCGCCTTGTTTCACCCCTTTTCCAGGTGAGTCCTTCTACGAAAAATACTTGTTTTACTGCTGTGCACACGCAGCATATATCAAAAATACTTTTCTGCCACGGTTGCAATCTAACTAGATTTACTTCGGTGTTGCCTAATGATTCCGACAATAGTAAAAGCCAATGAAATACGCACCTTAAAAGCAGGAATTACGGGATAAGAGTGCCTTTACTTTAAAAATATCTAGATTTGGTTTGGTAGGACAAACCTCTTTGAGTTTTTTTTTCTCTTTTAATTTGTACTTAAGAAGGAATACTGGAAAGAGTCTTTTTTAGGTAAAATTCAGTGGTCTATAGCGCTCGTGTATTCATATGCAAAAGGAATACTTACTGTGAGGACTCCCAATTGGGACTATGAAGAAGGCAGCGAAATGCAACATATACGTTGACCCAACAGCTAAAGCTGAGGCCACCTGTCCCATCATCACTCTTCGCCATTCTTCTTGTGCCCGGTCTCCAACCCGGTGCTCCGTGGGCATGTGCTGTATCCTTCATTGTTGAAAGCTGAACCTTGGGAGCAATCAGTGGATTATGCGCTGCTTTACAAAAGCGGACGACGCGTCGCCTTTCCCAGGCGACCTATGAACTGGCCCCATCCTCTGGATGCAAGCAACTCTGTTTCGCCCCCTTCATTGTTGGCCGTGCGCTGTGCTGAAACATAAATTTAACTGCGAGCTCATGGAGCCGTGTGACAAGGCCGCAGGAATTCAAAACAAAAGTTGCAACAAATACCAAACACGCCATAAAGACAACAACAGCAAATACATAGACATAAATTGCAGGCTTGGCCACTCTCGGCCCATCTCGCTCTGCAAAAGGCAAAAGGCAACCCTTTCTGTCTCTGGCAAGCAAAAAGAATGACAGGAAGCCGGATGTGAGTGCATGCCTTTTGTGCATGCAACGAATTATTCAGTTGACACACAGGATGTGTGCTTTGCTGTTCATGTTGTTGCCACTGCCACTGCCGCTGGTTGCTGGTTGCTGGTTGCTGGTGGCTGCTTTATTTGCTTGCTTTTCTCTGAGGATCTGGGCCTGGATTCTAGTCCAGTTTTCCAGGATTTTCTGTTAATTTTGTAACCATGGAAATTTGTAAAAAATTAACTTACCCACAATTAAAAGCTCAATTTGGGCAACTTGATTTGATGACCCTTCTTGTAGTAAAATAGGGAGAAATACAGAGTAGTCTATTGAAACACTAAGAAACATAAAGCAAATGTATTAAATAATTATAATTTCCAGGGTTTAATATATGAAATATATATACTTTAAGGTTGGCAAAATATCAAAATTAAAATAACCTATTCTTTTAAATTTTCCAAACTTAATATTTCATATTTATTTTCATTTGTAAGCTAGGAAATCGAGTATCTCATAGTCGACTATATTGTTAGGCCCTGCTTCTTGTTATATATCTCTGAACACAACTTTCTGTTATTGCGCAAATATACGTGTGCTTTATGATGATTGTTATTATACTCATATAGGAAATACTCGTATAAAATGCGTGGCTTTCTCCTTGAAAGCATTTAAT